GTTTTAGTTTTAACAGGGTAAAAAATATGATTGATGTCAGGGGAAACTTCAAAGGCAGAAACTTATTGAACTTGATTATCCAGAAATTAATTTTAAAAAATGTAAAAACCCTTAAATTGAAGTTATCTTTTAACTAGAAGATTCTGCTGATCAAATTATTGAACTTGCTTATCCAGAAATTATTTTAAAAACTTACAAAATATCTAATTAAAAGAAGTAAAATATATTTAAGTCCTACTTCTTTCTCTTGTCCATAAAAATGTACTCCACTTAACTGTGACACATAATTACACCATGATTAGATCCGTTTATTGTTAATCTTTCCTTTAGTATTTTCCTTATTTTTTTTCGCTAAAGCCATTGTAAAATCCCGGCACGCAAAGCGAATAAAAGAAACATTTACGAGTGCGTGATTTTTGTATTAATGCAGGCCTTCTTTTTTTTTTTGAGCCTGAGCCCAAGTGTTTGACTGTCATGTGAGGCGACCACAAAATTGGCCAGACAAAAGACGAATCAGCCGAATGGAAAGATTTCCATGACAAATGTCATAAAATTCGTTGAGCGAATATCTTTTTTTTTTTTTCTACGAGCTACGAGTTCCTTTTTATTATAATTTGTCATATTTTGTCATTTAGCATTATAGTTTTGAGGAGGGCCTCACACATTTTTTTTCCTTGGATTTTTCTTTTTGGAAAGAAGGGAAAAATATCATCTAATGCCGGCGCCTATAAACTCACAACCATGGCCCTCGGTGTGTGTGTGTGTGTTTGTGTTTGAGCTGCTTGACAACAGCGGAAAAGAACGGAAATGCTGCTGCCTAACCGAACCACCCAGAAAAAAAAGAAAGAAATCGAAATATAGACGGAGTTGGGGGGATTCCCCAAACAATGAGTTTGGGCCAAGTCCATGCCAAAACGGACATGCCAGCAGCAACAACAATAATAATGCTGAGCACAATTTCGTTGGCCGCTGCCAAGAAAAAAGTTAACACACACACATGCAATGTGCACTAAGATAAATTGAGGGGAATAAGTATGGATAATGCTGATTTTAATGATTTTATTAATTGCAAAAATTATAATTATAAGAAAATCAAGTTTTCAAAATGTTCTTACTATTATTATTCTCACTATTAATGAAAAAAATGTTTAATATATTTTTAAAAAAAATTTACTACTATTAAAATTAAATTTTTTAAAATTAGCTCTGATTTTTCTATTATTATAATTTTATTACAAATTTCTTAATTATATAAAGAAGCTTCTAAGCCTTTTAAATATCAATGAAATAACTTCTAAATAATTAAACCTTAATTTAAATAAAATCCCTGTTTATCCCATTTTTTTTTCTCTGTGCACACAGAGAGAAACAAACACAACTTTTGGTGAGAGGCAGCAAACGGAAGAGACTTGACAACATACGCAACATGGGCGAAAAATGAGTGGCGACGACGACGCTGGAGACGGCGCACATGGCGTATGAGTGACGAAACTCCGGGTCAGACTCCGGCGGAGAAGGAAACAAGAAGAACGGAGCAAAAAAAAAAAAAATAAAATAAAACCGACAACTAAGGCACACGCCCCGCACAGATTTGATAGTTTTTATCGATTTAAGTGGATTTTGGCCTCACACAAAACGAGCCTGTACAGGGACACAAGGAGGGGGGGGAGGTTGAGAAGTGGGTATGGAAAGCCTGGGGAGGCAAAAAGGGGTGGCAGGGACATCGCGCAGATATATAGACAGACAGCCTTGGTTTTTGGCAAACGTCGCGGCCCCAAACAAATAAACATAAAACAAGCAGAAATTTGCGATTCGCGTTAATTTAGTTTCGACGAGGAAGGTACTACACTACCTTATATGTAAAGTTTATTTAAGAAATTAAGTTATTTAGTAATTTGTTATATATTGAAAATTAAATTAAGTAAATTTTAGGTTAAATAATCAAAATACATGAATTTTGAAGAGTTTTTATTTTAGAGAGTAGAGATAAAAATGTGTTTTTAAAGAGTTTGTGTTTAAATAAATAATTAAAGAAATAATAAATATTTTCCTAAAAGTTTGTTAAGTAAAAAAAAGTTATCAATGCCAAATGTTAAGTATTTAAATATTTATTCAAAAAAATAATAATAGTTTTAATTAAATAATCAAAATAAAGATATTTATACAATATTATTATTAGGTAATTTCTATAACTATTAATTATTTTTACTTAATACATTTCTCTAATCTTTTTACCAACTAAATTAATATTGTAAAAATATATATATATTTTAGAAATTTGTTGTATTTGCTAAACATTTTTTAAATATTTTTATTTTATATTTATTTTTATTCAATACATTCCCGTAACCTTTTTTACAAAACAATTACTATTTTAAAAATACATTAAATTATATTTTAAATTTTTAAAATGTCCTACAATTTATTTTAATATTTTTGTTTAATCTAAGACCTAATCCCCTATTTAATTCAATGGACCCCTTTGATCCACAAGGGCATCCAAACCCCACATTGTAGTTCATTTCAGAGTGCGTTTGTGTGTGCCACAATGTGCGTCTTGGCAGCCGCCGGCATAGATAACACACACAAACACATACAAAAAGAAAAGATAGAAAAAAAAATTAGAGCTCCTCTGACATCCGAAATCAAAACTCAAAGTTTGCATATAAAGCATAAAGCTTCGACCATGAATTGTTTAACTTTGCTCCTCCAGCTGCCAGCCTCTCTTTCAGCTCAACGTTTTTCTTTATTATTTATTTTTTTGTAGTAGTACAAGCAGGAAGTCTATGCGTGTGCCACGCCCACCCCGCTCTATCGCCCCTTTCCTTATTTTATTTGATTTTTTTTTTTTTTTATCAACACTTTTGCTGTTGGGGGTCCGAGCAAATGCGTAAAAATTATGCCACAGCTTGAACAACTCGACACGAGCAGAAGGAGAAACGTACAAAAAAATATATTGTTCGTATATATACATATATTGTAGGAAAAAAAAAAAAAAATCACAGAAAAAGGAAAAGAGGAGAAAAATGCGGAACTGGGGCTGTTTTGAGGGGGAAAGCGGGCCAGCAGCAAACCAAAGCCGGACAACCAATTTACTTTTATTTTATAGATGCCTGCTTGAGGTTTTTACTAGGGTTTCTCTAATATCCTACATATATACCATATACATATATATATGCGGAGAGCCTCGATTTTTGTTGAAAGGCGTTAAATATTTCCCTTCCATGGGCATAAATTATGCCTACCAGCAGTAGAGCCAAAAGAAAAAAAAAACGGCAGAAATAATAAAATGGAGATAAAAAATGTATTTATTTTGCGCATATTTACGCATGGGCCAACTGAAACTATTGCCATAGAAAAAGTGCCCGGCTAAATGCGCATAAATATTAAATGAGCTGGTGGAGAGTGTATCAATTGTTCTGGCCCATTCCCCCCCTCCGGCCACGTCCCTCGTCCCCGCGCCACAAATCGCAATCCCTCGGACTGGATCTCTGGATGGAAGATGATGATTTAGTTTTCAGCACTCCATTGCAATAAATTCCGTTTGCCAGGCCATTTCCAACTGGTTTTGTCAGGGCGACTCTGGTCTGTCTCTGGCTCTGTACTCTCTCCCCATAGATACTATATACGGGGAGCTCTTATATATATATATAGATATATAAACGGAGATCCCTCCTAACTGCTTGGCACTCAACATTATAAATTGCCGCACGAGGGGAGGCGAAGGCAGCAAAGTCATTGCAGCCAAACAAAAACTTATTATTTATATACACATATTTGTATGTTTGCATCGCTTACACAAAGTACTATAGTACTAGGAGAGTACCCAGAGGGATCCACTCTAATAAATAATTATCGTATTGTTTAAGTCTCGAATGGAATGCCATAAATCATGCCTCTTGGCCACCAGACGTCGCTAGATATTTGACTCTGAATTATTATCATCAGAGTCGCATCAGACTGATAAGCACTATGGCGACATGGCGGCCAATAGATGGAGAATGGGAGGAGAGATGCTAGAGGGAGTAGCTGGTAACCTCTAGTAACTTGGCTTTAGAGAGAGCTATGATGGTGAATTTTGGTACTCGAGTTGTTTTTATTTAGTTATTTAAAATATAACAAAAACAAGCTAAACAATACTATGTAAGCTAAGATATATCACTAGAAAATAAATGAAAATTAAACTAATTAATTAACCAAATCAAATCCCTATAAGATGGGTTTAATTTCCAGGTCTTTCCTCATACCAAAACCCTTCATTGGCTGTACCCGTTCTCTCCATAAATTCCAAATGTATTCATTCATCTATTCACTTAAATCTCGTATGAATTTCTAATCTGTTTGTCTTAAATCCTAAATCCCAGCCGCTCAGCCAGCTGAAAAGAGCTGGCGAACAAGTTGATAGGCCCACCCAGAGGGGCCCAACAAAGTGAGAGGCACTTGTTACTAACACGCTTCTCGACTTTAGCAGGAAAATTGCGTTTTGGCCACAAAACGTTTGCCCTTCGGCTTATGGCCTACAGCCCGCACATACATACATATACTATATAGCGAATAGATGAGTTTTTTTGGGGTAGAGGGTAATATTATGGGCCCCCAAAGTAAAGTAAAAGCCTCGAAATGAGCCAAGAGAGCCCCAGCCTCCTCAAAGTTTTGCGTGCCTGCACAAAAATATTCAAATAAACGCGGCGAAATATTTAAATCAGACCAACTTTTGAGGGAATCAAGCCAACTATACGGATATGGGGTCCAAAAAGGTTTAAAGGAATGTGCGAGCGAAAAGCTTTTAAGCGGAATCCCGCAGCAGCAGCCGCATCACCACCATCATCATCATCATCATTAACATCATCGTCACCCGAAATGAAAAGAGGTAAAAGCGCAGCCAATGGCACCGCAACTATACTGCAAATTCTGCGGCTTTCAAATCAGCAGAGGTGGAAACCCCTGGAACCCAAAATGGATTGGGATAATATACGATATTTGGTGTTGAAACCACACACTTTTCAAAATATAATTTAATAGGCGGCCAGGCACACGATTTGATGACACTTGTTTAAAATAACTAAAACTAAAAACTATTTATGGGAATAGATCAAGTTGATCTGATATTTAGCTTCTTGACTTCCTTTTTCAGGGACTTTTCTTTGGTAATTACTATTCGGTGGTCTTGACTCTTGATTTATGTGATATTCTTATATTTCTTGGACCCATTTCCTTGGTATTACCAGATCTTTCATTGATTTTTCTACTTAAAGCAAGAAATAAATTAGGGAATCTAAGCTTTGATTCTGGTGACTTGCTTTCTCTTGATTGAGTCTTGGTTCGTTCTCTACTAATTGATCGATTTCGTAAAATATTTCTTTGAAAGTGAGCTTTTCTGTTCATCTTTTCTTTATAATTTTCCTCCGAGGATCTTTTATATAGTTTATGTAATGTCTGGGTATGATCTCTACTTTTGGTCTTATATTTGTAGGGTTTTATAGGCTCTTCTTGCATTTCTCTAATTGTGGGAACCGGAAAATGTACTTTTTTCTCTAAGGATTTAAAACTTTGAATAGATTTTTGATTCATTAATGATTTTACCATTGAGCTAGAATGGAACATATTAGGTTTCACTAGTTTGAGCTGACTTGTTATAACCCTTGCAGGTGATATAAAAAATAGACTTTCACCAGCCACTTTTCTTGAATCCTTTTTCGTTCTAGAATTTTCTTTATCTGTATCCTTTCTATATTCCCCTGAACCCGAGTAATCGGGTGTCATAACCTTACTAGCTTCAGGGGAAACTATATTCCTGGTTTGTAGGATCTTTTTAACAGGGTTTGCTTTCTCGGGCTCCAAGGAGCTGTCTTGATTAGATCTCTTAGGGATTTTACTTCTTTCTAAATAATTTGATTTTAAAACATTCTTGGAAATGGAATTGTTTTGAATTCTTTTACTGCTTATAGGTGAAAGAGGTCTTGAAAAACTCCATGTTTTGTGAACTCTCAATTGATCTATCTCCATCATCTCTTGGCAATAATCCAAGGGATCCTTGACCAGCCTAGCTTGATTTACTTGATCCTCCAATTGTCCCGATATATCTCTTGTATAACCAATCTGGGGAAGATTATGCAGAGCTTTTGAGCAGTTGTCAGTGGTAAAGTAGACTCTTTCTTGTGGCCTATAGGGCTTCAAGGCTTGGAGAGCACTGTCTTGAGGTGAATACCCATCAGGCAATAGTCTATTTTCCCTGAGGGGCTTAACCTGATCATAGTTACACCCAAGTCTTTGATACCCTTTCTTGATAAGTTGGCCTCCATATAGAGTCATTACCCTTCCATTGGGAAGTTGGATTGCTTTCTTTGGGTCGCGATGCAACCAACTCCAGGGCATGCTATTGCAATAGGGTTGGGGAATCATCATCATGCCGCCACCGCATCGGCTCTTTTCCTGACGGCAGGGTATAATTCTTGGTTTTCGCGGCTTGATTTCTGTTAAAAGTTGGCGTGAATGTTGATTTTGTACAACTGCAGTGTATAGATCGGAGATGTTGGCTATGCAATAGCATTGCACTTGCTTCGGTGACATCTGTTCCAACGGAGCCCTCTGTTTGCAATCGGAAACTAACAGGGGACTTTGAAGCTCCCGCTCGCAGGCAGTCTGCCAAGCCATGGGCCCCGAAATATTGGCATATTGACTAACCGCAGGCTTTCTAGGAGCTCCAGAACCCTGGCAAGGACACAGATGTGGAGCATAGCCATAGGGTATGGACTCGTCCGAGGAAAAGCTCTGTAGGCCGGCACTGGACCTATCGTAACCCAATCGTCTGAGACCGGCCCAAATAACGCTCCTCGGGGAGGGTTCGCTTCTCGGGGTCCTGGGACCACCGAAAAGTACAACATTCCGACAATAACCGGGATTATGTATGTCCTTGAGGCTATCTTCGGTACTCCCACACTTACATCTCCGCTTGAGGCCTTCTATTTTTCTGCCACACTCTCTTGGCAAGTTTAGGAAATACTGCATCATGGTTATAAGAATGAGCAGGGTCCTTGTGGGTATGGGACACCTGATGTTGCCACACTCATCGAATATTCCGTAGTACAGCTCACAGGTGTCGGGCAGAGTAAACGGAATCTTGCGCGTATTCCAACCGGCCATCAATGGTTGCAAAATCCTTGCAAAGAGCTGCAGGGTGAGCTGATGTAGAAACTGGCCCACCCTTTCGGTCGATTGATTCACCATCTTGGCCAGTGCCTGAATCATGCCCACATTCATCAGACCCCATCGCCTTTTGGTCGACAAACAAGAGCTGCCTTGTCTTCCCTCCAAAAAAGAAGAGCGCTGGAGACGCGGAAACGATGGCAGGCAGGCCATCGGATCGGTGCGATCGCCGCGCGATCGGCAGCAACAGGAATACATTTTGGCCTGGCCGTCTTAGGGTTTTCCAAAAAATAGGGGGAATTTTGTTAATTTTGATCGAAAATTGAGATTTAGAATGGGAAAAATCAAATATTTAAACCCCCAAGCATACTGCGACGAAGGGGAAAGTATGAAAAACTCAAGACCAAACCTTTATTAAAGGAAAGATACGGTTTAGCACTTTGGTTTTGTTCCAAACATTGACTGCATATATTTATTACTAATAACTGAGCGAATTTGTATGTAATTTCTTCTATTTTCCAATTAATATCCTAATCTAATAACATTTAAATTTTGATCATAGCTTCTGAATCCTTTTAAAATAAACCTCTAAGATGTGAATGTTTAAGATAATTTTCGATCAATTTTAATTTCAAAAATAAACTATAACGATTTCCTGTGTTTCGTTGAGAGCCTTTCCATATCCTTGTTATGGCTGCCTTTCCAAGTAGTTCGATGGGTTACTAAAGATTTACGATGATCCTGAGGTTTCAGCCAGGTATTGCGCTTGCTAGAGACTTTACTATTATTACGATTTACGAGGGGCTCATGGATCGCAATATTTAGAGTCCCTAGTACTTTTTTGGGGCGTCTCTGAGACGCTGGGAGTTTCGACTTGTTAAAATTCGAATTCGACTGCACAACGGAGCTGTAAAGCGTCGAGATCTCAATGGCTATTTGCTTCAGACGTTTCTTTTCAACGTGATGGCTGAGATCAACTTTGTCGATGATCCTGTTCAACTCTTGGGGATCTACTCGGCGTCCCTTTTTCTCAATTAAAGTTTTAATAAGAACGCGCAGTCGTTCGGTCCTTAGATTCCCTATGGGTCCAACATAACTGTTCTTATTGCGTCGTCGCTCTAGCGCCTCATTTACCATATTCTCCATATAGAAGTACGATCTATTGTGGGCCAAGGCGAGTTCATCATTGAGAAAGACCGAATATCGGCCAAGATCCTTCCTCGGGATTTGCTTTTTAGCTTTATCGGGATCGTCACGCTTATAGGGTCCTTCTATTGACATCCTTGGGCTGCTGGTTGGTAAATCATTTTGTGATTCTATTGGTGGTGGTATTGTGGCGGCTTTACTTTTGATATTAAATTTCCTGGGCAACGGACTTCCCGGATCCCAGGTTAAGGATTCCCTAGCGTGCTCATCGATGCCCTCTACTTCTGAATCGTGGATTTTAACAACATTTCTGTATCTGCGAAGACTGGGTGGACAACCGCCAGAATACTCCGCGTGCAGGGGCAACCCCAGGCAGCTGTTATAGCAACCGCCATTGAGATGATCCAGCAGCAACTGGAGCAGATGATGGAGACACTTCGGATGCGTGGGATCCCTCAAGTTGCCAGACCGATCGAATATACCCATGTAGCGGTCACAGACATTCGGATAGCAGAGTGGCACCTTGCAGAAGCTCCATCCACGATCCCGGGGGTTTAGCAAATGCGAATATTTCTTCAGGGTGAGGTCGTAGAGGAAGTCACCGACATCCTGGGGCCAAGCACCGACCATCTGGGACAACCGCTCGATCACCGCTTGATTCTGCTCCCGCCATTGACGGCGATCCTGGGTCTCGTGTCGAGCTTGCTGTCGCTGTCGCCATGTTTTCCGCTTACAAATGCCCAGTCTTGGTGGATAATTTGATTCTGCATTTCCACAGTAAATGCTATTAAAGTTCATTTTTCGAATTTTGGATCCGAGGACACGTCACACAGTGAAAGTCCTCACACGAATCCTCTAATTGCAGACCACGAGGACATGGTAAAAGCTTCGACAAAAGGGGGTTCAATTGATCCCAAACTAAAAACTAAAATTTTTGACAAGTAAACAAATGCTTGAATAGTTTAGAATATTAACAATATTAAATAGCAACAGAAAACTGGTGTAAAACCCATACCTAGATCTTGAATATTATTAGATTACAATTTCCGAGCCTCCTCTTCAATCCGGCCCTCGTGGCATAATCTGTTTGGAGTGCTCACCTTGTCTGGGCGGGATTGGCAGGTGTAAAATGGGCATCAATACCTCAATACATCAATGCCATTTGCTGGGGCATCGCGCCGACTGACACGAAAATTAAATAATAGTTTTTACTTTTCTCATTTTACGAAAAAAGGCCACGAAACGTGTTCGCAACGTACAGAAAAAAGGTAAATTTGATTATGTTAATTCGTTTGCCGCGTCCCCTTTTTTTGTGGATGAGAAACACACCCAAACCCGAAAAGGAAATTAGGCCCAGAACCATGATGGACAAGTGTGCGTGGGCCAAAAAAAAAAAGGCCAAAGATGAAAGAGATGAAGAAGTGGAATGAGTTGAAAGTCAATAACCGCAATAAAGCAATGGTGGGATTTTCGGGCCTAAACAAACACGCATCGCGAGTTCACTGACCTCCGACACAGTTGGACAGTTTTTTTGGCCAACAAAAAAAGTAAATACAAAAATAATGCCGGGCGGAAACGATCAACAGTTAGGCGCGCTGCACCTGTGGGTGCAAGGAATTCTTCTTAAAATTCGCACAAATAACAAGCTCGACTCAAACAGACCGTAAAATTAATAATTACAAAATTGCATGTTCGTTTGTTGTTATCAGGGGGAAAACAATCAATTTCCCGGGTGTCTATGTGTGTGTCAAAAAGGTTTACACGAAAGGCTCCACAATAGAAATATATATATATATTTCTTTATAATAAAAGCATCTACCATTTACGATCTACAATCGAGGCGAAATGTTTGGGCAATTGAGTTAAATTTATTTGAGGGGGATTTTGTTGTTTGTCTAGTAAGCCTCTTATGTGAGAATCACTCAGGTAAGTGGGGTTTTTTTATCAAAATATATATTTTGCAAACAAAAATAAGGGAATCCACCTCAACGAACAAGTGAAAAGCTGACCTACATTACAAAAATAAAACCATAAAATGGGTCAACCTTTTAATTGTTGATAAGAAGAAAGAGTCTTTACTTAATTGCAATTACAAATGAATTAAGAACTATTAAAAGTCCTATAAAGTTTAAGGTTTCCTATAAAAAATCTATTTTTCTTATTAAATTCCCAAGTTGCAGCAAAGAGTTTTAACGTTTTTGGATTGATTGAAAGTGTTTTATATTCTTGTATTAAATTTAAAAAATTAATTTTTATACTTACAGTGAAGAAAATTCAGCGACTTTAGTTTTAAATGTAATCCTTTTCAGTAAATTGCATTTAAAGTTGGTTTTAATATTTGCATATATTATATTTTTGTCACTTTATTAATTATAAAAAAAGTTGTAGTATTTAAAAGTGTATTTTATTTGTAATTTTATAAATTTTATTTTTATAACAATTTAGCTAAGTTATATTTATAAAGTGTTTTATTTTATTTTTGATTTAAGCAAAAAGTTTTTTCAGCAAAAATCTGTTTACCTTTTCAAGGCTATTAATTTTTGTTGTTCGATTTTATTATAGTTAAAATTGAAATTGCACAAAATTGTTATTTTAAATGCTTATTTAGTTTATTCGTAAATTTTTTTATGTATGTTTATTACTTTAATGATTTTGCTGGGAAAATAGTTAATTAGATTTGCTTTTCGCTGCGTTTTTTCTATGCAAATCCATTTATGCTTTATGTTTTTTATAAACAAATCAGTGAACACACATTGATTTTCAGCTGGATTTATTTGTATTGCACTTTGATCAAGTATTAGTTTAAATGGAATGCTTCAGTGTTCGATTGGGTATTGCACTTTGGCCCACAGACTGGAAAAAATATAGATTGATGCATCAGATACATATATATATATAGATTGCTTGTCCAGGCCATAGTTGAGGTTGCACTGAATCACCCACCCAGTTGTTTATAATTCAATTTCAATTTCTATCGAAACGGCAGCAGCAGCGCCGGCAAGTAAATAATTTTTAATTGTTTATTATAGCCAATTGTTTGTGGTTGCTTCTTTGTATCTACAAGCACTTGTATCTGTTTCTCGCCAGCTATATTTATCTATCGATAGAAAGCTTCATTTATGCACGGCTCGCCGTCGACTCTATAAATTCTGAAAACTTATGGCGCCGCCTCCCCCCACTTTCCCCATTATATCTCTCCCCAAAAGTTCGCCTTAAGTAAACGATATATTCTGGCGAAATTTTCCATGTTAATTAGCTGACAGTCGAGAGGGAGTGGAAATTTCCTGAACCTTACTCCATTCTGCAAGGGGGGTGTGGCTTATGTTTAATCAAAGTTCTGCGGCCTTGAGAAGTACATACAAATCTAACTGTTTTCGAAAGTTTTCCCTTGCACAATTGATGGGAAGCTTAGTTAAAGTGTCTACTGAGATAACACGGTCTGCCTGAAGTTGAACTTTGCCCTGACCAGATAAATATTTGCCTGCAGTCAACTCGGTGATTGGGTTAGGTCAGTTTTGGGCCATAATTCCTTGGCTAAAATTTCGATAGGCCAATTAAAGTAAAAGTTTCGAGCAGCTTATTGAGTGGATTTTATCGGTAATTGGTAGGAATTTATAGGCTCGTTGGGTGAGCAAAAGTTAAGGTATCTATTGAATTATTACAGGTCTTATCTGGTGACAAAAGATGGAAATATATATTTTAATGAATTTCCTTTGAATTAGAAAATATTTATAATACTTTTATATAATCTTTAGATTCAAATTCTTGGAAGAACTCATAAGCTTATTTCTGAGAATTTCCCTAGTTGTTTAGCTAATCAATTCCTAGTAAGTGTCAGTTAAGTAATACAGTTCACTAGAAAATTTTATAATACATATTCAATAGTACTCGCTGCTTAAGTTTTAAGTATATATTAAATTGCTATTTTATTATTTTTAAGAGACTCCTGAAACTTCTCCTGTTAACTACCATAAACAAACAAATACAAAATTTGGCTTAACTTTGGTATAATCAATTTTTTAATAACAATTTTTATGGCATGTTATATAGTTCAAATTTCCTTTCTTGCTGGATTTTTTGTGAATCTTTATGTAACCTCAATATGGACCGTAGAGACAAAAGTCGGCTATAAATTCAATAAAGGCCATTTTTGCACTTCTTTGGGGTCTTGTTTTTATTATTTTATTTGAATTTTATTTGTGTAGGGTTCAGTTTTCTTTTTTTTTCACACACAAACACACACTCGTAGTTGAGTGAACACGTTGTTCTGGGCTGTTTATGTTTTTTTTTTTTTCTCCAGATTTTCTTTCTTTTTCCTTCTTGATTCTCTCTCCCACACTCACCCACACGCACACTGGCTCACTCAATCGCCAGCACACACACACACACTCACAGAGAAAGACAATGCACAGTGAAATTCCGCTACACCGGAAATTACAATTGAAAAAAGTGGTTGCTTTTTGTTTTGTTGTTTATTTTTCTCTTGTCGTTCTTTTTTGGCATTAACTAAAACGTCACACGAAATTGTTGTTATTATTTATGATTATTGCAATTGTTATGTTTATGACTATTATGTAGTATCTTTTTTTTGGCACAAAAGAACTGGATGAATGGGGAGATAACAATGAATGGTTATTACTAAATTTTTTTAAAGTTTGATTTCCTTTTTATAGGTTTTTAAAGTAATTATTTTTTGTTTAGTTCTTTTTTTTTAGACAATTGTTATTAAGGAAATATTTTTGTTTAGTTTTTGGTTTGTTCTTTTAGTTTCTTACAGTTTTTGTCTTTATTTTAAAAAGATCTTGTTTTAAATTGACTTTTAATATTCCAATATTATGAACTTTGCTTATTTTTTCAGGATTTTTACAACATTTTGAAGGCTTAGTTATTTTATTTTGATTAATTGTATCTTCTTCTCTTTGATTCAGTGTTATTTACTCGAATTTCTTTTGTAGATTTCTCAGATTTTTTGTTTGGCTCTGGATGCACTTCTTGGAACACTCACTTTTAGAATTGTTTAAACTTGAACAACAATTGTTTATTGCGGAATTTCGTATTTCGCAGATGAGGAGGAAGACAACACACGACGCGCTCTGCCTTCTACCGCTCAGCTTCCCCTGCTCGCCTTTCCCCTCGCTATTCCCTATTCCGCTTTTCCTCCTCGGCTTTTCCGCTTTTCCCAAACAGCTGCCGCTGCCAAACCGTACAGTTTGAGAGTGAATATCGGACTGTGTTGGCAATCGTGGCGGAGGCCGCTCGAGTCCGAAACCGAAACCGAATGGAAATCCGAGGAGGAATCGGAGTCCGAAAGCCGAAGTAGCATCCGCACAGTGGGGTATTGCACCCAAAAAGTGTTGATTTATTTAAGAAACTAATTGTGCATTTGGTTATTAGAGTCGCAATACTTTTTTAATGTCCTAAAAAAATTAAATAATAGACATTCTTGGGGGTTTTAATAACAAAAATTAGTTTTCTTAAACAAAAATATAATCCGCATTTATAAGTCAATCTTTAAGATTATATTATATATCCGTTTTTTGTTAACCAAATTTATTATTAACCAATTATATTACTATTCGTCTAAATATAAGGCATCTATATAAATATAAAACTCCTTTGTTAACTTAATCTACCCATTACCCACATAAGAAATAAGTCCCCATTCAAAATATTTCCACTATATTTGATTTTGGGGTCAAATAACCCACTGTGCATCGGTTGGCGAAGCGGACACGAAGCGTGCGCTCTCATTGGAACTCCGAAATGTATCTCAAAACTGGAAGTCGGTACTGGAACACATATACCCGTTGCTTTTGTTGTTGTTATTCCGAAACAACAAATAAAACCCGCAACACAGCTGAGCGGAATTTTTACTACTACAATTTATCTGAGAGATACAAAAGCGAGCGAACGTAGTAACCCACACAGATACATTTACGTACACACACAGTGGCACAAAAACCGGCATTCCTCTCTCACTGCATTTTTACGATGAGAAACAAACACACACACACACATAACCGAAACCA